AACATTTCTTCATGTGTCTGTTGGCTGCTTGGATGTCTTCCTTTGTGAAGTGTCTGTTCATATCTTTTGCCCATTTTATAATGGGGTTGTTTGGCTTTTTAATCCTGTGATTTTCATGGAAGAACACAACTTGTCATCATAGTAGAAATTCCTGTGAATTCCAAAAACATCTTTCTCCTGTTCTTCTAGGTCAAGCTGACCAAATGCCAGGAAATGTTGCACGGACACATACCAAGCCACCTTCCTCACTTTATTCAATCTACTGTTTTTCATGTAAGTCTTCTCCTAGACTGTAAGCCTCTTGAAGGCAGAAACTATTCTGTTCATCTTTGATTTATCTTGGTGTTTGACATATAGTCAATGTTCAATAAGAACTGTAGAATAATCAAATTAATACATGAATGAACACATTAATAGGTTTGGCCTCTTTTCCCAATCCTCATCAGCTACTAATAATCTGCTTGAAAATCTTCTCGTTCTAACTAAAAGGTCACACTGTCTCTGTGAATATCTCCCCAGGAAAGATGAGTAGCATTTTCCTCTGAGTCCCCAGAGCACTGATCACATTGTCTGATCACACTGTCCTAACTGTCTGTTCTATGTATGTGGCAAGTCCTCTGAGGAGATTCACAATACACAATATAGTTTGCCAACTACAGAATTACTACTTAATAAGCATTAATGTGAAACTTGCATTTAATTTGTTAATTCACTTCTACTTAGCAACATAAATGTACTGCTCAAACAGAAATTAGGAAGAGTTTATAAAAACAAATGTAGCATTTTGTTTTATGAATTGCTCACGTAAAATCAAATTTGGAGGCAGACAAGTAGAAGATGCTTTACAAGCCATTGGATATTCAGCTCAACGCCATCCTTTTTTGTCCTTTAATTTCTAAAGTTAATAAAAGGATATTCTGGGCACAAGTTCATGAGAAAGCTCTTATGGATGGTTGTTTGCACATGGTAATCTGTGTAAGGCTCACAAGAAACATCAAAAAGATGACCTTTCTTCTCCATTACTTTCTCTCTCTCAAACTTCTATACTCCTGATTTCTGGGAACCAGAGTCGCAAAATTTTTGACACGATTGTTTTACTTGCCCTTACTTGAAATTCTTGTTTGTAGAATTGGTACCTCTACCTGACTTCTAGTTCATATTAGGATATTAGGCACCTCAAAAATATCTCACATATATTAGGAATCTAGTAAATATCTGCTAAGATGATTGCAATAGCAAAGCTAAGTAATGATAGCTTAGACTATGGTCGTAGCAATGAGGACAAAGACAATTGATGGATTAGGAAGATATGTAAGAAGCAGAATTAAAGTTGGTGAGGTAGAAGGGAAGGCTGTGGGCGAGAGGGAGATTGAAAGATTCTCAGGTTTTTAATTTGAGTAACTAGCAGCCACATTGACCAACCAGTGGTGATGCCAGAGCTGACCCAGGGCACATACACTGTCTATCTCTGTAACCCACAGAGGAGTGAAGACTCAATTGTTCATGCCTCTTGTTGCCCAAAGTCTCTCCCTCATTCTTTTGTGTTGGACCATGGACCTATTTCCTGATGTCTGTTTTTTGCTGCCACCATGCTTTTTTAATTATAAACCACAAGGAAAAAGAGAATACCCAGGCCTGCACCTGAACCATCTGGCCAGTGTCCATCAAAATCTTTGAAATTTAATTCACTTAGGACTGCTTTCCCCTTCGCGAAGACAAACTGCAAGCTCTTCCCGTGATCTCCTCTATTTCTCTGCTCATCCCACAAAGGGCGGAACTCTTCCATTGCCCACCTTTTCCCTCCTCCTCTCTCTGCGAACTCTTAGATTGTGCCGTGTGCCATGATCAGTACCTTTATTGAACCTCAACTCCTTCATGGGAGTCTCCCCGCTCCCTCCTCAGAGACTCAACTAAAACTTGGTTGAGGTCATCCCTTACCTTACAGCCTTTGAAAGAAAAGCATACTGATTTCCTCACATCACATACTGGCTAACTAATGTCTGGGTTGGAAGGTGGGCTTGACGTACTCCTTGTTTTCTAGAAATGATTATTCTTCTCTCATTCTATAAAACCACTGTTCATCTGATGGTCTCTTTACCCAGTAGTAACACCTTTCTACTCTTCAAGCCATTCATTTATCAATTCCTCTTCCTTCATTGATGACTTTAGGTGTCAAGTTACCCAAATGGACTAACTCTCAATCACAGTTCCTTCCCTTCCTGATTTAGGCTCCATATACATAATAGCTTTCAACTTTCTAGAGATATTTTCCCCAAAGTTTCTTAATAACTTGATTGTAGTACTATCCTTGACTTTCTTCACCCTCCTGCCCATTACGGAGTAAGTTTTTGGGAACACCGTATCCTCTTGCTCCAGTCTGGAGTGGTTACTTTTCTAGTTGTCATCCTGGTATTTCTCTTTACCATCATCCTGTGAATTTGGCTTTTTTTTTCTTGTGTTGTTTTTACTATTTTCAGGACCCCATGTCTTTTTCTTTAGAATTTATTCCTTCAGTTTGGTAGAATATAACATCCATTCACTTGATAAGAAATGATTTAAGTGAACATTTTTTAAGGCATTGCACGCCAGAAATATTTTTTCTTTATAAACTTGAAGATCCCTTTAATTTATTAAATTTTCTAGTTTCTAAGGAACCCAGTTCCATTCTTATTTAAAACCCTGTTTCACACCCACATTCTTCTCTGCCACATTTTAGAATTTCATTTTATCCTCAGCTTGAAAATTCATGACAATATGCTTTGGTGTCTGGGTGTGTGTGTGTGCATGCGCGCGCGTGTGTGTGTGTGTGTGTGTGTGTGTGTGTGTGTGTGTGTGTTTTCCATCGTGCTGGATACTCTGTGGGCCCTTTCACTCTGGAAGTACTTACTCAGCAATTCTGTTAAATTTTCTGTTACTATTTAATTGAATATTTCTTCATTTCAAAGATTTTTTTTTTCTGTAATTTCTATTTGCTGAATTTCTATTTCCTATCTTTTAGACCTATCTTATGTGTCATTTCTTTTCATTGTAATTTCCATATTTTGGTGTTTTCCATCTTTTGTCCATTCTTATTTTAGAGAGATTTGCTTAACTTTATATTCTAATACTTTCTACTGAATTACTGTTTATCTGATAGTTAAGTTTTACTTACATGGGTTATGTGTTGTTTCCTGAATGTTCCTTTTTATATCCTCCTATTTTTGTTTTAGGGTGCCACATTGTTTTCATTTCTCTCAGAAGATTTAGCTGTAGACTTTTTGTCTTTTCCCCACTGGTATTTCTCCCTCATGGTATTTTTGAGCTCTATTTAAGTTTTTATTTTTATCTTTCATGATGGGGGTTTTCCACAAATATCTGGTGACCCCTTACTATCCAAAATTGAAGAGTAAAGCTCTCAAAATCTAATTGGAGGATTTCTGTGCATGATGGGTTTTACTGCAGGATGATCCTGCAGCAAGTCAAATAATATTCTGAAAAAAATATTCTGGAGAAGAATATTCTGGTATTTTCCTTGGGTTATAACCATGTTAC